TTAGAAAAATACATCTCCCCGGGAGAACACCTATTTTTCCAGTTCGCGCAAAGAGGGTGGCCGGAGGGATTACCTACTTTTCGGAGACCTGTCAGGATCTAGTTCCCCTTGTTCTCGGCCGTTCGGCTGGCGGCCCTCGGCGCTGAAGACGTCAGTGCTGGGGTGCCAGTTGGCTTGACGGGCCCAGGCCGCGCACTGCGGCGACGTTCTGCGCGAGGCTGGAGGGCGCCGGCCCCGGCGCAGCCCCGGCGAACGCCAAGCCAAGCGCAGTCGGACTCGTCGACGTCGAGCGCGGTCATGTCTTGCACCCAGAGCTTCTGGGCGGGGCATGGGCAGGCCCGGGCGTTGGCCTGGGCCATCGCTGGCGCCATGCTGGTTCATTCCAAGTCCAAGTCGCGCTCGGGCCGATCGGGAGATCCAGCAAATTACGGCACGGCAGACTGCCATTGTGCCATTGTGGCCTGGTGCATGTTGAGTCAGGATGATCCAGGATGGCTTGCTACCCGCAGGGGCGGTGGGTTTACCGCTTACCAGTTCTACAAGTCGGGCAGGCGCTGGCGCCACTGGGGCCGAACTCTTGGCAAACATCCACGCGTGCGGCATGGCAGGGGCAACGAGCTCGAGCTGGAATCCTCTGATGTGCCTTGGCAGGGTCAATGCTGGCAGCTGCTGGCAATGCTCGCAGTCGGGCAGGCGTTGGAGTCGAACTCGGCGTTGCCATATTTTTTGTTTCGTGATGCCCGGTGGGGTCCAGCGTGGCAACGCTGATCTCTACTTCGCCTGGAGGCGCTGGAACCGAATTGAGGCAAACCTCATGACTCATGCAAGTCGGCCTGGTGGGAGCAACGAACGCTGCAAATCCTTTCAGGGGGGCCTAGTCACTCGTCACTAGTCCTAGTGACCTAGTGGCAGCGACGCTCGGGCAGGCGCTCGAGTCGCATGTCAGCGACCTGGTTGTGGCAGCTTTGTAGCAGCAGCTAGCAATGCTGATTTCTTCATGGAGTGGGAACAGTGCGACGTGCTCTGGGCGCCTGGTTCATGGGTTCGGGCAAACCACTGTTTGCGCGTTTTCCCAGCATTGCTCCGACGTGCTTTCTGTCAAATAGGTCGCGCGCGTCGCGCGCAGTGCAGCGGCAGACGCGACGGCGAGCCCGGCGCACGGCGGCCGCGTCGATTGTTCTGCTCAGGCAGGGGCCAGAACAGGAGAGGGGGAGGATGAGAAGAGTCTTAGAAGGGGTGGGGGGGCCGGAAGGGAGGTGGACGAGCAGAGGAGGAAGGCGACGGTAGGCAGGGGTGGGCGAGGACGAGGGGGCGGGGAGGAGGGACGACGGCAGGAAACGACAAAGGAAGGGAAGCAAACGAGGTGGAGGAAGAGAGGAAGCGCTGCACACGATCCGTTCCCTGTTGGTTATATCCACTGCTGCGCGGGATCAGCTGTTTTTGTTGTGAGCTTGTCTGGTTTGCATGCGGTTTTCATATTATTTTGATATTATTTGTGTATTTTGAGCATTTTCGGCAATACGTTGTGAGCCTTTGGGCTGGGTTGTATTAATACAGAAACAATACAGAAATAATACGAGCGATATGGGAATGCCGCCTGTATTTTTATGATATTAATAGAGGGCGGTTTGTTTCTATGTTTTCGATAATAATAGGGGGCAACTTGTTTCTATTTTTTCGATAATAATAGGGGGTTTGCTCTTTTTGAGCTCCTCAGGAGCTTTGCCGGTTACAAATCTTGCACTATAGTATCTCGTGCGAAATTATTTCCGAGTTGAACGTGTAGTAGCAGTTAGACTGGCCAAGAGCGTGTCTAATTTTCCCGCAGTAAAGAACGTCACCGGGTCTACACTGATCCACTACGACAACGATGTCAACCCAGCCGTCCACTATTATGAGTTTGTGGGCACCAGCCTGAACATCTCTCAAATCATTGGTAGCACTCACTCCAGACTCATCCAGTGCTTGGCTTCACAGGTTCCTTCCTTAGGATTTCATGACGACCTTGCCAAGTATCAGCACTTGGGCACAACGCCTGGAGAACACGACGAGCCTGGAGACAGGCCTCCACCAGACACCCCAGGTGCCTCATCACCAAGTGAAGGTCGCCTGTCTACAATCTACGAAGAAAACGAGGAACATGACATCGAAGCTATGATGACGGAGGAGTGGTACGATGAGTTAAGTATGGACCTTCATCCCACAACGGTTACCGACGATCATCTCTACTGCGCCCCAACAACTATGCTGCCCGACCAATGTGTTCTGGTCTCAGCGTCCGTGGACGAAGAAGATATCGTAGTGTCGGAAATGCTCGGGGACGAGCCTGAACCACAAGAACCCTGTCTTATCTCTCTATGCTCAACCACACCTGACGAGGGCTAGTCTCTTGACAGTGATGAACATGGTCCTTATGTTGAGTTATGTTTTACACCAGAGATGGCAAAGGTAGTGCTAGATCAGACCCAACTTGCACAGCTCGAAACTGACATGGTCGCAGCGATGAGAGTATACATATCCTCGGCTGCTAAAAGTGCTGTGGTAGTCAAGGAAGACGACCTACTCACCAAAGCCGACATAGCAGCACATCCTAAAGAGGTTAGTGAAGCTTTGTGCACCGAACTCAAGATCTGGCTTGATAATTGGTGCTTCGAGATGTATGACCGATCTAAAGCTTCCAACATCATGACATCCAGATATGTATACAAGTGGAAGTCTCTGAAGTTAAGCACCGAGAACGTTAAAACCATCCGTCTCAGACTTGTCCTTCGTGGATTTATGGACACAGAGGCGTTCGATGTAGAAACCTTCTCAGGAACGGCTCGAAGGCAGTCCCAGAGGCTCCTGGCAAGTGAGGCGGCGTGCCATCCCGAATGGATCTTAGCATTCATGGATATTGACAAAGCGTTCCTCAAAGGTCTGACCTATGAGGAACTTGCTCGTGCCACCGGCGAGGAAACTCGCATGGTTTGCTTCACTCTTCCACCAGGAAGCGCCCAGGTGTTTCGTGCACTGCCAGGCTTCTCTTCTTACGATGAAAGCCGACACTGCCTCGGGTGCCTCGAGCCAGGGACGGGTGCAAAGGGCGCCCCAGGAGCATTCTCCCTCAAGCTTCGTACGACCACACGAGCTATAGGCCTCACACCGACAAGTTACGATCCTGAGTTTGAATTCGGTCAAGATCTGTTAACAGCAAAACATGTCGACGACATCAACATGGCAGGCCTAGAAAACATGTAGATGACTATGTACAACGTGTCGAAAAGGTGTTTGGTAAATGCAAGCTCAACAAACATTATTATACGAACTGCGCCGTTCGCTACACTAAGAATGACCAAGGGGATGTGATCATGGATCAGGACGTGTACATTAAACAACTACGTCCTATCACACACCCCGAACTTACGGGAGCGGCGGCTGACGCCAAAGCGACCACACTCATCACCGACATGTTCGTTAGCCTGCGAGGAGCTCTCGCCGATGCCCTCCTTACTCAAGTCTGGCTTATGGTGCATGTGGTCTCTCTCCAGACGATTCAAGAGCCCACCAACTTACAAGTCAGACGACTGAATGCTGTGACGCGAAAGCTGATCAGCAGCCCGAAACGCATCGCCTCCCCTCGGATGAAACCGACGAACGAAGTAGATATACACAGTGCTTCGGGGTATCGGAAGCTCACCGGGGATGAAGACGATGAGACTAGGGGGTGCGGCATACGTGGGGCTAACGTATTACGGCTGGGCAAACTCGCCTCAAGGCAAATCCGTCATCCACCTTTGCGACGGACTATGTAAATCACACCGACTGCAGGTGAGATCCATCTATGCCGCTGAGGCACTTGCAGCTGCACGCAACCTTGATGAATGTTACCCTACGCTCATCACTCTCCACGAGCTCAAGGCAGGGGCCCTGGCTCCACGACAACTGCGAGATATGCGTGAAGTTGGAGGCCTAGCTATCAAAGTATCCATTACCATAGACGCTGAGTCTGTGTACAAATCGCTATCCAGCAAAGATCTTAAGATACCGACGGAACGGACTTTGCTGGGACATACCAGCTGGATACGTGAGCTCATGGATATAGTTATGGTGCACAACGTGCAGTGGTGCGATACTAGAGACATGACCGCAGATGGGCATAGGTGATGTCAGGTACTCAATCATTTAAGTACGACGTGAAGCAGTTTGTTCCCTTTCGGGGTCCTGAGGACAGAAGCAAGCCTAAACCACGTCAGTTTTAGTCTGTCTTTGCTGCCCCCGCGGTCCAGTCTGCCAGCATGGGCGCCCGATACAGAGGCGCCTACCTAGTTGCTCGGAAACGAGCCTTACTTTGCACGCTTGGTAACGAGCCTGTTCAGATTGATTCATGCTCCTTGCTTTAATACCATTTCGCTCGGAGAGGTATAGCCTGTGTGGCTTACTTCTAGCCGGGCCGATAGCCCTTTGATGTCCAAGGGGCTATCTTGCGTATGCGTGAAATGCTTTGCGAGGAAACTCGCCTTATAGTCTGGTGTTAGGCCAGACTGTATGCACTGTTTTTCTTGCAAACAGTCGTGCGCGCGGCCTTTGTAGAGCCTAACGGCTGCGCGGCTATACTCCCCTCCCCTCCCAACTTTAAGGGTAGTTCTTTTGGAGATGTTATATAGGATCGGGAGTATAGCTCGCGCGCCGTTGCCTTTGGCTCAAGGCACGCGCGCCCTATTTGCCCGGACATTGCTTGTGTTCGCTACGTGCTGGAAAGATCACTACATCGATCTTATCCTATCTTATTCGTCCGTTCCCCTTACTGAACCACCACAGTACGGCCCCGGACGCTACTTGCCATCCGCATCCCATGGAATCGGATGCTATTTGACTTACCATAGTCACTTCAGACTGGGGAACCCCCTCCCCGAAAGGGAAAGAAGGGGGTTCGCAAAAGGAGCTCCCTGGACAACTCACGCCCAGAGAGCTGGTGGGGTCGCAACGCCCAGATGGCGCCTTGGGGGCGCCGCTACCAGGATGCGCAAGGTGCACTACGTGGACACACATCAGGAGATGGTCGTCTCCGCCGTCGCCCCCATGTCGCCGAACGTGCCAGGGGTGCCGAGCAGCTGACCAACTGTTCAGAGGAGGGCGAGTTGAGACAACGGTAGTCAGCCTTCAAGGGACCCCCTCGTCGCAACGGTTGGGCGCAGCTCGTGAAGTTGGTGCGTTTGGACCCCAGGAGGGGTCTGGAAACCGATGTTTAGCCTTTAGCTGCCGTTGTCTCTACTCGCCGTGGTCCGAAACGCACTAGAAGTGGCCTGTCAATTTCGAGCGGTGTTGCATGCGCACGCCGCTCCTGGATGCTGTCTTCCTCTCTCATCCTACGTATGGAGTCGTCACTCCCCGCCCCTTGACCTCCCCCTCCCTACATATCCTCCTTCTCCTCCTCCTCCTCCTCCTCCTCCTCCTCCTCCTCCTGTCCTCCTCCTCCTCCTCCTCCTCAGTTTCCTCCTCCTCCTCTTCCCCTTTGATTCCCGCTCTTCATTCCTCCACGCATGCGTTATATGTTTCAGCTCGGCACACCCGTCTCACCTTTGGGAGCTCCACTTACGGCCCAAGCGAGGTCGGCCTTTAAGCGTCGCCTTTTTTTTGGGGGGGCACACTTCTCACACGGATCATGCCCCTATTGGCAGTTCCATTTACGGCCCTAGTGAGGTCCGACGCATGGCGTCGCCATTTCCATTTTGGCGCACCCTTGACGTGGATCGCGTGCCCCCTGGGAAGCTCCATACAAGGCCCTGGTGAGGTAGGTCGTTTTGGCGTCGCCCCACCCATTTCTGCACAGATCTCACGCGGGCCATGCCCCCCAGGGGAAGCTCTGTTTACGGCTCTAGTGAGATCACCCGTATTGCGTCGCCCTTCCCATTTCGGTATATTTCCGACGCGAATCGTGGCCCATGCGGGGCTCCACCCACGGCCTTGGTGAGGTCGGCAGTTTGGTGTCACCTCGTTCATGTCTGCCGACATCTCACGGCGGTGGTGATGTCGCCCACATTCCATAGCCCTCCCATTTCGGCACACCCCTGAAGCGGATCGTGGCCCATAGGGAGCTCCACTTACGAGTTACGGCCCCAGTGAGGTCGGCCAAATGGCGTCGCCCCGCCCATGTCGGCGCACCCCTCACGCGGGTCAGGCTCCCACAGACGGAGCTCTGTCCACAGACCCAGGTGGGCAGGGCATATTGCGTCGCCCCGCCCATGTGGGCACACCCTTCACGCGGATCGTGCCTCATGGAGAGCTCCACCCGCGTCCGGCCGCATGGTGTCGAAAACCCCATTTCTGCATTTCTCACGCGGGTCGTTTCCCAAGAGTGAGCTCTACCGACAGCCTCAGCGAGGTCGGCCATTTTGCGTCGCCGCGCCCATCTCGGCGCACCCTTCACGCGGATCGTGGCCCATGGGGATCTCCACCCACGTCATCAGTGAGGTCGGCCGCATGGCGTCGCCCCGCCCGCTGCTGCACTTCTCGCGCGGGTCGCTCCTCCAGGGGGAGCACAGCCTGCGGCCCCAGTGAGGTCGACAGTCTGGCGCCCCCCCTCCCACGCCGGCACACCCACGACGCGTCCCCCGGGAGCTCTCCTGCGGCCCCCGGGGGGTGCGGCGCTCTGGCGCCGCCCCGCCCACGTCTGCACCCCCCCCGCGCAGAGCCGTGGCTCCACGGGGACCTTCGCCTGCGGCCCCCAGCGAGGGCGTCCACGTGCGCCCCCTTTTGCCACATCGGCACGCCCCTCACGCGGATCGTGGCCCCACGGGGGACCCGAACGCCGTCCATCCCGCGGCGTGCAGAATGTGAGCATCTGCGTGCACGGCCGCGCCCTGCGCTACACGCAGTCAAACAGGGCCCAGGCTGGCCTCTCCGAGTCCTCCTCTTTCTTGCCCTCCTCGTTGAGCCCCTCCCAGCCGCACGATCTCACTTTCAAGAGTCATTCTTATACTGCGCTCCTAGGCTTCGATTTTCGCGAGCAGCAGGTCTCGGTAGCTGTAGAGGTCTCTGCGATGTTCAATTGATCGCACTGGACGATCCGTACAGCTTCAGCTCCCCTGGGAGTATCATACATAGGGACGCCCCCAGGGGATCGTCGGAGAATTCGTTAGTCTCTAGGCTAGGCTGCCGCTCGTTCTTCCTCAACTGGCATCCGCTCTCCTCCAATGTCTGCAGCCCTCTCCGAAGCAACAACACGTGCATGCAGGGTTCCCGCAGTTGCGGATAAGCGATGGGTCCCGAGTCTCGAAGAAGAAACACATTGATAAACATGCACTTTCGGTGGTCCGTGTGGATTTCTTGGATCGGCGTCTCGTCCCCCAGGCGCCGCCTCGGGCGCCGCCCCTGGCGCGCTCAGCGCGCCAGGCAGGGAGTTCGACGGCGATCAAAGAGATCCGCGCGGAGCTCCGAAACCGGAGGGTTCCAAAAGAGGTTGTGAGGAATGTTGTTGTTTCCCATGTGGTTCCCTGGGGCGAAATGAAGCAGGGAGGCGTCCTGCGTGTTGCCCCGCCCCTGGTGAATTGGGCAATCCTTCCTGTATGATGTCTATCGCACGCATCATAATTTTCGCGATCGGTTCTCGGAGGCCCACCGAGCCCATTCGTACAATCTAGCGCAAATATCTGCCCTGGCGTTTTTCAGAGAGCGCCTCATGCGTTGAATTGCACACCAAATGCCGCCTTCTCAAAAGCCTCCTTGGGGCACCTTCCATCTTTCTTTGTCCGCCCCATCACAGTAATTGTTCCAGATATTGCCAGACGGCCCAAAGCTAGAGAAAGTGTTGATCGATCGGGGACCCGTTGTTAATGCTAGACTCACCGCGTAACCCCACCAGCCCACCCAGAAACGATGTCCAGACGAGTTGCCCTGATCAGGGACGTGCAGGGGAATGCACTGGAATAAAGGGCTGGGTAAGACGTCGTACCCCAAGAGGGGGATGATGGAGGAGGAACCAGAGGAGGAGGAGGAGGAGGAGAAGGACTAGGGAGAGGGGGAGGGGGAGGAGGGAGGAGGAAGGAGGAGGAATGGGCGGATGAGGAAGAGGAGGAGAAGGAGGATACATAGAGCGAGCAGAAAGGCCAGAGGCCTCTTTTCAGATTTCTCTCGAGAGCTTCTTGGGGTCCTCTTTGGGCGTCTTGGGGATCTCTTGGCAGCCTCTGGGGCCTCCTGAGGCGTCTTCGGTGCCTCTGGGAGGCCTCTTGGGGGTCTCTTGGGAGCCTCTTGAGGGCATCGTGGGGGCCTCTTGGGGCCATTTGGGCACCCCTAGGGGCTGTCTTGGGGCACCCTTGGGAGCCTCGGGGTCCATCTCTCGCCATCTTGGAAGATATCGATCAAAGGATGGGGCTCCTTAGGGTTTCGCCTTGCGAGGCTAATATGTGGCCAACACCTTAGTAGAATCAATGATCTTGGCCATCTCGCCGAGGCCCCATTGGGCGTCTTGGGTACCTCTGGGGTGCCTCTTAGGGCGTCTTGGGGATCTCTTGGGAGCCTCTTGGATGCACCGTGGGGGCCTCTTGGGGGCCTAATGGGGCCTCTTGGATACCTCTTGGGGCCCTTTCGGGGGCATCGTTGGGAGCCTCGGGGGCGATCTTGGGGCCATCTTGGAGGAGATCGATCAAAGGAGGGGGCCCCCCGACCAAGCCCCCCTTACCCTCAGGAGGCCAGAGTGTGGCCAATACCTAAATCGAGGGAATGATTATTTGGCTCACGCCGCACAGCCGACCCCTTGGGAGAGAGTCGCTCTTGCGGCTTCAGGTTGCTGCGTGACTTCTGCTTGTATTTGTATCGAAGACGCCTACGGCGAATCACCGCCGCCCCCTGCCTTTTTGGAAGCGCCTATGTGGCCGAACGTTGAGGCCAGACCTGCCAAGCTATCGGACCACGTGTTCCCCGAATCGGTTTGGAAAGCCTTCGGGGAACACGTGGGCATCTTGAAGGTCATCTTGGCCGTCTTGGAGGCCTCTTGGGCAAGCTTTGGGCGATCTTTGGGGCTTTTTGGGCCGTCTCGGGCCAGCTTCGAGCCAACTTCGGCCATCTTGGTGGGTTCCTGGCACGTCTGAAGCCGTCGGAAGCCGTTTGGGGGGCCTCTATGGGCCGACTTGGGGCCCGCTTGGAATGCTCCAGGGCCGTCTTGGAGGCCATCTTGGGCGTCTGGGAGGCCATCTTGGGCGTGTTGGAGGCCTCTTGGGCCCTCTTGGGGCCCTCTAGGGGCCATCTTGGAGGCCACTTGGGCCATCATGGGGCTCTCTTGGGGGCCTCTTGGGCGATCTTGGGGGCTTCTTGGGCCGTCTTGAGCCGTCGGAGAGCCGAAAAGGCGCAAATGCCATCAATGATTTTGGCCTCTTCGGACTCTCCTGGAGGACCTCTTGGAACCGTCTTGGAGGAGGCCGTCTTGGAATCTCGGGCGGACTTGGAGGCCATCTTGGGCCATCTTCGCGATTTTTTGAGGATGTAATCGGGTCTTCTTTTAGAAAAAGGAATCGTCCAGCACGCCGTGCACCCCTGCAAGCAGGGGGCGGCGGATCGAAGACGCCTACGGCGAATCACCGCCGCCCCCTGCCTTTTTTGAAGCGCCTATGTGGCCGTTGTGGCCAGAGGCCTGCCAAGCTATCCCCGTGGAATGGAAAGCCTTCGGGGAACACGTGGGCATCTTGAAGGTCATCTTGGCCGTCTGGAGGCCATTCTGACCCTTTCGGGCCTTCTTGGAGGACGTCTTGGAGGGCTCTTGGGCCGTCTTGGAGGCTATCTTGAGCGTCTTGGAGACCTCTTGGGCCGTCTTGGGGGCCTCTTGGGGCCGTGTCTTGGGCCTCTTGGGCGATCTTTGTGGGCATTTGGGCCATCTCGGGTCGTCGGAAGGCAGAAAAAAAGCAAATGCCACAATCCTTCAAGAACCCATGGCAAATCAATGATTTTGGCCTTTTCGGGCCTTCCTGGATGCCCTCTTTGAGGCCTCTTGGGCCGTCTTGGGCCATCTTGGAGGGCGTCTTGGAGGCCTCTTGGGCCGTCTTGGAGGCCTTTTGCCGGCCTTTTGGGCCGTCTTAGACCATCTTGAGGCCATCTTGGACCGTCTTGGGTGCATCTTGGAGCCATCTTACCCGTCTTGGAGGCCATCTTGGCCGTCTTGGAGGCATCTTGGAGGCCATCTTGGGCCATCTTGGCCGTCTTGGAGGCCATCTTGGGCGTCTTGGAGGCCTCTTGGGCCGTCTTGAGGCCCTCTTGGGGCCTTCTTGGGGGCCTCTTGGGCCGTCATGGGGCCATCTTGGAGGCCTCTTGGGTGCTGTTGGGGCGATGTTGGGGACCTCTTGGGCCGTCTTGGGCCGTCGGAGAGCTGAAAAGAAGAACATGCCAAAATCCTTGAAAAACCTAAGGAAAATCAATGATTTTAACCTATTCGGGCCTTCCTGGAGGGCGTCTTGGAGGGCTCTTGGGCCGTCTTGGAGGCCTTTTGCGGGCCTTTTGGGCCGTCTTAGACCATCTTGAGGCCATCTTGGGCCGTCTTGGGTGCATCTTGGAGCCATCTTACCCGTCTTGGAGGCCATCTTGGCCGTCTTGGAAGCATCTTGGAGGCCATCTTGGGCCATCTTGGCCGTCTTGGAGGCCATCTTGGGCCAAGTTGGGGCAACAAAGGCATTGACAGATGGATTTTCGGAAACTTGCGGGTGGCCGGCGGGACGGGCCGAAGCCCACTGGGGAGTTCTTTTAGAAAAAGAACCAAAACCAAAACCTGAAACATCCAGCACGCCGTGCACCCCTGTGGCAAGACCACAGGGGGCGGCGGATACAGTGGCCTTCGGCCCATCCTGCCACCGTGCCTGGGTTGTGGGTCAGGGGCCTCTTGGATGGTCGCTGGGTTGGGATCGTAAGGAGCCTTTCGGGGGGCTACATGAGGCAGTTTGGAGGCTTCTGGGGGGCTGTTTGGGAGCCTCTCGGGACCTCTTTGGGGCATCTTGGGGGTCTCTTGGGGTCTCTTGGACTTGGGGGCCTCTTAGGCCTCCCGGGGGCATCTTGGAGAGGAACGCTCGAATTTTCGGTTCGTGGTCCCCTTCTTTGGCCCCTCTTGGGGTCCTCTTGGGACCCTCTTCGGCTGTCTTGAGCCCTCTTGGACCGTCTTCGGGCTCTCTTGGGCCATCTTGAGCCCTTCTTGGGGGCCTCTTGGGCGGATCTTGGGGGCCTTCTGGGCCGTCTTCGAGCGTCGGAAGCCCGACTAGGCGAGAAATTCAAAAACTTGGAAAACACACACATGAGAATCAAACATTTTGGCCTCTTGGGGCCCTCTTGGGAGGCCTCTTCGAAGCCTCCTGGGGCGTCTGGAGGCCATCTTGGGCGTTTTGGAACGATGTTTCGGTGACTCGGAGCCCTCTTGGACCGTCTTGGAGGTCTATTGGGACTCTCGTGGCCCTCTTTGAGGCCCTCGATGCCACCCCGGCTGAATTTCTGGAGCAAGGTGCCCCCCCGGGCCGCCCGGGGAGACCCCCCCCCTTCCAAATCGACCGGACTGGGCTTCCAGGGGAAGGGTTTGGGGAGGGGGAATCTCATTCGCCGATGAACCCCAAAGGGGTCGGCTGATTTTGGCCTTGTCGCCGAGGCCTCTTGGCGCGTCTTGGGTGCCTGCGAGGAGCCTTTGGGGGCCTCTTGGGGGTCTCTTGGGAGCCTCTTGAGGGCATCTGCTTCACGCTCCAAGACCTCCCCGCGCGAGGCGTCGAAGACCCTGGGGTCAAACCGCCTTTTGCGGGCGTCTGTGGGCGATCTGTGAGCCTCTTGGGCCCACGCAGTCTCTTGGAGCCCTCTTGGAACGTCGGAAGCCTGAAATGCCGAGAACGCTATAATCTTTCAACACGCATGCCGGAAATCAATGATTGTGGCCTTTCGGGGCCCACTTGGGGGGCCACTTGGGGGGCCATTGTGTCTCAAGGCTCAAGGTGGTCAAAGCCTGCGAGGTGGTTCAAGCCTGCAACGACGTCCTCGTTTGCGCAAATGGCGACTGCAACTAAGGGAGGAGGCAGTCGGAAATTGAAGCCTCAGGGGA